TTCTTCAGGTTTATGTCTGCAATAGGAAATAGAAAATGTGAAACCATGCTTTTTCAGCAGTATCTCTTCATAAATCCAGTCTACAAAACAAAGGAGTCATTTCTTTGTCATACACTTCCCCTCACCCTGGGGAGAATTTCACTGGATAAATCCTACAATTAATTCTGATGTTCCTTTGCAATATGATAAAGTATGATCAGGAATCAAGGGTTCTGGATTCTAGTCCTAACACTTCCTGATCAGTGACATGGCCCTAGATAAATTAGATGACAACAGAGACCACTTAGGACATTTGCCCTAGATAAGTCATGAAAGTGTGCTGTGAGTCTTAGTTCCCTCATCTGTAAAATGGGAATATTTATAATAGCTTTCCTACAGGACTAAACAAGAAAAAATATATGAAGGTATTTGAAAAACTATAGAGCTGGGGAGTGGTACAATGATTAGAGTGCCAGGTCTGGGGTTAGGAAGACTCATCTTCCTAAGTTCAAATCTGGCCTCAGACACTTACTAGCTGTGAGATCCAGGGCAAGTCACTTAACCCTATTTGCCTAAGTTTCTTCATCCTTAAAATGAGCTGGAGAAAGAAATGGCAAACTACTCCAGTATCTCTGCAAAGAAAACCCCTAGTGGGGACAGGAAGAGTCAAACATGACCGAAACAACTGAACAACAATTTGAAAAACTATTTAAGTACTCTACATATATAAATTATCAATTTTGTCATCTTCATCAATATCAAATTCAGCTCCTTAGTGCCAACAATTCAATTACCCTTGGCCTCTCTTTATTTACTATTCTTTAAAGACTACTACTATTCTTTAAAGACACCTCACACCTCAAATGGTCATTCTCAGTCACCCCTTTCCCTTCCCCCAATCAGAATTCGTATAGAGTTTTATACTTTGTCTCTTCATTTATCATATTCTGTCGTTATTTTTGCACATGTTTTATTTCCCCTACTACATTATGAGGTCCTTTAGAGCAGGCTTAAACATCTTAGTTATCTTTGTGTCCTCATTAGCTGACAAACGTAACAATAATGATAATGATAATAGCATTTCTACAGCATCAAAATTCTGCCTATAATAGGTGCTTAATGTTTATTGAAACTGTACTGATTTAAGAATAATTTATAATTAATCTTCCTTCTTAGTTTTTTCTAGTACTTTCCAGCTGAATCCGAAGAAATTATCTCTGTCCCCCCAAAAAATTTTGTAATATGCCCCCTATCTTTTCTCATAAACACTTTAATCTTTCCCCTGTATGCATAGTGGTTATAGCATAACTTGTTCATCCATTTTGGACAGCCAGAGACACAGCTGTTAGAGAATTCTGTAAACATGCATGTATTTGTGAGCCCCAGGTTCCCCACTTTAAGCCTTGACCTGCATTTCACCCAGGCCCTATACTTCTACTTTTCTATAATTTTAAAATGTCACCCAAAAGCCTGGTGTTTAGCTATTTAGTACAAAACCCAACCTTCCCAAGGACTATATAAATAAGGGATGATAACATCAAAGGACAAATATACAGATTGGATGTTATTTTAACCTCACTCCCAATGCATTTTTGTAGTTCATGCTACCTACACAATTTGATTCTGTTTTCTTTTGAAACACAATGAATGTCATGGGTGAGAGCCGCCCAGGAGTGAATCACAGAAGCCCTATTAAAACTAAAGAAGAAAATTCTTGATTACGAAATAAAAATAACTTTATAGAAGTTTAGGGCTTAGAATGTGGTCTTATTACCAAGGATTTTTTTTAATTCCTGTTACATAGAAAGTTAAGTTTAACACACCAGAGGGGCTGATCAAAAAGGAAAGCTAGAAATGGGATTTGAAGGAGTAGTCACTGAAGACATCATTGGGAAATAAGGAGCATCAGAGAAAAGTATAGCCCTGTTGCACAGAGTAAATGGGACCTTGATAAGGAATGATGGATAAAAGGCAGAACTATTCAACTCCTTATTTTTCTTTCTTCTTCTGCCAAGGAGAATAATCTTTGGACTGAAAAGAACAACACAAAAAATAACTGACAGGGAGTTGAAACATAAGATGATAGGTATATCCCAAGGTGTAAAAAGAAATGGTGGATATAATCACTGAACTACTTTTAGTGGCCTATTAAAGATCATAAAGGGTTGGAGACATGTTGAAAGATGGAACAAGGGCAGATGACCTGAGGAAGTAGTCTGTAGATTGTAGACAACATCTCCCATCTACTTATGAAAGAGAACCCATATCATCGTCATAGCCAAAGATTTTGTCAAGAGTGATGAGTTGCTCTTTGTCAGGTTAAGTCATGTGGTTTCTGTAAGGCAACAGCACGCTCTTCAACAAATAGCTCTGAGCTGGGCATCAGGATGCCTACTGAATTTGGGACAGTCACATAACCTTTCAGTGAATGTTTCCCTTCATTAGAAAAGAGATGGTCCCAAGCCTTGCTATGCCACTACAGTGTTCTAGGATTGAAATGAGCAGATAAATGTTATAGGGAATTATGTCAATACAAGGCATTAGAATAATTTCTTGAGTCCTTCCAGCCCAGGTCAATGACATTGAGATTAATTTCAAAGGATGGATAAGTTCCATTGATTAAGTTACTGTGTATTGAAATAAACATTTAGGAAAGCTTAGATAATAGAACCTTAAATTTCTTCTAGATTAAAAAAAAAAAAAGGTAATATCTTCACTTCTAAGAAAAGAGGAAAAACTCCTGAGGATGACCTTAGGAAAAATTATAGAGCTGAAGACCATAAAAGGACCTGACTGGGAAGAACTAGTGGCCACTGTCAAGGGGAGGAACACTTGATCTGTTTGCCACATTGCTCAACAAAAGAGATGACAATAGTGATTTAACAGGTATAATTTGGCCTCCCCTGGTCTCTAGCAATCTTTTCCCCTCAGAGTGAATTTTCGGACTTTTTGAAGGGAATTTCAGTTAGAATGGATAGATCAAATATTTTCCAATTTTTTCAGTTAGCAAAAATCTATCTCCTTTCCTTCCTACACCTTATTAAAAACAAAAATATTGTAACAAATACGAAGTCAAGCAAAACAAATTCTCCTCTTTGCCTTGTTTAAAACATATCTTATTCTGTACCCATCACCTCTGTTGTGCAGCGGTTCCTTGCTTCGTTGTAAATCCTATGGAGTCATGGTTGGTCATTGCATTGTTCTTATAGTTCTTAAGAGTTTCTTAGGTCTTTCAAAATTGTTCAAGTTTTTTTTTTTTTACATTATTGTTATTATATATATTGTTCTAGTTCTGCTCACTTCACTTTGCATCACTTCATACAAATCTTCCCAGGTTTCACTGAAACCATACCTTTCATCATTTCTTATGGTACAAATAAAACTGAGACATTCATGTATCATAATTTATTCAGCTATTCCCCAGTTGATGGGCGCAGCCCCCTTCCCCTCCTTTGCTTCTGGTTCTTTGCCATTACAAAAACAGCTACTATAAATATTTTTGTGCAACTGAGTCCTTTTCCTCTTTCTTTGTTCTCTTTGGGGCATAGGCCAACCAATAGAGAACAAGTAGGGACACTGGGACAAACTTAAGCAGCAGCAAAGCGAGAATGGGGGACTCTACGTACTTCTGCAGGATATCCTCCTCTTGTCGGTAAATTGGGATAAGTGGTAACCTAAGATGTAGCTTCCTATTAGCTTCTATGGCGAGGTGATGAGCTTGGCTTGGAGGAAGATTTCTGGCTTTCCCAAAGTTGCATCTTCTTGCTTAAGTAGTTTCAGAGATCATGACTGTCTATAAATTACCTCTCCTAGCTTTAATAAGTAATCAAGTGATCTTTGAAGTATAACACTAAATGTGAGATCCAAACGTTTTTGCTGTGGCCATGTCTGTTCAGAACTGATGCTGGGACTACCTTAATCTATGTTATTCCTTATACTTGAGATTTGCCCAGTGCTTGTTCTTTGGTTTATTTCTTCAATGTGTTTGTCTTCTTTTAAAAAAGCGATCTTGCATTGTAGGTAGGTCTTTTTCCCTGTCACTTCTTTGCAGAAATGCTATTTTTGAATAATAAAAATCAGTTGAATTTCTAGAAGCAGATATGCAATTTTTACCAAGATAAAATTTCTTTGTCCTAAATTGCATAGTTTTCATGATAGTAACATAATTACTTCTGTACTTAATTTTTCAAAAATTAAATGTGATGATAAAAGCCCAAGTTTCATTTCATAACATTTATTTTTGGTACTAATGTTCATTAGTTATGCACCATGTATTAAATTGCACATTACCAAATGAGCATATACTTAATGGAAAATTTTATTGTAGTGGATTGTTTTAACATTTCCTTCATATCACTAACCATTTATAAACAAAATTCATTGTTATTACAGCATAAAAATACTTGTTGATAAGTTTGCCGCTCACTGACTTCCACATTCTCATTTTTCATCATTCCCTTATCATGCCTTATCCTCTTGTCTACCATTCTTGAAATAAAATTCCCTCTGCTTCCATTCATCACTGCTGTTTGAAATCCATCCCTTCCTTCAAGGCCCAGCTTATGGAATTGGACATTTATCCCAGGTAGCTTTGCCTGATTCCCTCAACTAGAATTGATTTCACCTTCTAAATTTCTTCTAACATTTTACACTGCCCCACTCCTTTGCACTTAATGACTAATGTATATTTTGGTTATTTCATGCAAGTGTTACTATTTCCATTATATTCTAAAATCTGAGCAAATGTCTGATTTTTATCTTTATTCGCCCCCAGGACCTCATACTCATATGTGGGTGGGTGAGGGTGGGGGGGGTAGAAGGTTCCTTTTACTTAATAGGTACATATATGTTGGTTGAACTTCATTGAATTTACAAAGAAATGTGAAACCAAATAAAGTAAACCAACTTTACAATTGCTTTATGATTTTAAAATATGATATAGTATCTGTAGAACATGATCTGGAATCTGTCCCTATGAATAAAAGTTGGGCTTTCAAAAAAATTTTTTTTTCTTTTCCTAGGTACAGAGGCAAAACATACAGGGCAGTTGTCAAGATTGTACGAACATCTGACCAAGTAGCAGATTTCTGCAAGAGGGTTTGTGCCAAGCTGGAATGCTGTCCAAATCTGTTTAGTCCTGTTCTGGTTACTGAAATCTGCCCAGAAAACTGTTCCATCCACACCAAAACTAAATACAGTGAGTCCTAATTGTGGAACTAGTGCAAGCCAATATTCCTTCCTCTCATTCCCCCTTCCCTCTCCTCTCCCTCCCAAGAAAACCCTATACACACCATAATCCACTCTGCTTATTTCTAGTCATCTTCCAGTATTTTTTTTTACAGGAATGTCTGTGGGATAATTCTGTAGGAGTATTTGTTCTAAACAGATATTAATGTTTTGAGTTGGGAGGAGGGTTTAGACCCAACTGGTGATTTTATTATTTTGGTGAACTCCCTCTATCATTGAAAAATCAACAGCTGCTTTGGGTACAGAGAGGAAAGTCAGAACTTGAGCCTAAGTCTTTCTGATTCTGGGGCCGATTCTTTATACACCAAACTACACTGCCTCTTAGGCTGGTTCTATTAAATAGAATAGTAAGAGGCAATAAGAGGAGTGATTGGGAAGAGGATGGATGTTGTTCCAAATCAAATGGAATCTCAGGAGGTTGAATGATTTTGAAAATTCTTAAAGACAATAAGAAAAAGAATACTTTTGTTGATGCGTGGATTAAATTTGTTTAACATACATACAGTGGTAGTAGTTGTATTCATTGTGTTTTTTCAGTGACATAGCTTATAAACCACTTGGCTCAATACTTTGGGGGACATAGATCATTTGAGAAGCAGTGCCTTGAGTGAAGGAACATGCTACCCAGAATGACTGGATTCCTGCAGGGATGTGTGGTCTCATTAAGTGTCCACCTGGTGCCAGGTGTTCCCCGGTAAAGACTGCCTCTTGCCTTGGTTCATAGAGCTATCTGTCACAAGACCAGCAGCCTGAGAACCATGAAAATGTTGTGAGTCAGTGAAGCTCATAAAACAGGATGGGCATCAGATATGGTTTATAATTGAAACTGCCACCTGCCATTATTACTGCCCCCCCCCCCCAAAGTCCTGCTGACTTCCAGCTCAGCCAGCTTGTTCTGGCAGATGATTAGCTCTAAGAGAAAGCAATCTTTTCTGAATCAGAGTAAGTATCACCTTGTACAAGATCACTGTACAGTGTTACTCCTTTTACAACACCTCTCCTATCTCATACCTCTCCAAGCTTTTCTTTCTCTTTTCTTCAAGTAACTCATATTGAGGTATCCCTAACATCTTAACTATGTGCCATCATTCACATCATCCCTGACTCATGAGAATCCTCTCCCAACCTTCTGGGACTAGCCTAAATGCCTCCTCCTCAGTTAACCTTTCCACTGTTTTTCTCTGAATTCTCACAGCACATTGGACCTGTTTTAGACCTTTATCTCATTCTGCTTTATGTTATAGTTTATTTGTGCAGCACCACTGAGTGGTGATGCAGATTGTACTTTCATTTCTGTTCCCTGCTCTCTTCTGGAAGGGGCAGACCTGAATCTCACCTGTGCCTTACCTTTGTTGTGATTGTTCAGTTGTGTCTGATTCTTCGTGACCCTAGTTGAGGATTTTTGGCAAAGATACTGGAGTGGTGCCATTTCCTTCTCCAGCTCATTTTACAGATGGGGAAATTGATGCAAACAGGGTTTGACTTGCCCAGGGTTACATGGTTAGTATCTGAGGCTGGATTTGAACTCAGGTCTTTCTGACTCCAGGCCTGGCACTCTATCTGCTGAATCACCTGTATGTCCTTACCTACTCTTATATATTTTACCTGTACCTTACCTATTTCCATCAGACCCTCTTTCCTTTCTCTCATCAGAGGCTGATTGTCTAATGAGCCAAACGGATTATAACCTCTAGCTCACTTTTCTTTTAGGGGCAATATGATGGTTTTCTGGTCTATGGTCTCTTTCTCTGCTGTTTTATGGATTTTTGTATCAGATGAAAACATATTAGTATAATCACAATAGCTCAGAGCCCCCAGTTTGAAAAAAAAAAGAATCCTAACCTTCAGTTTTGTGTATCTGTAGATAATCCCTAGTATCTTTATGTTTGAGGTAGTATCAGGACTTGGGAAACATTTAGGTAAACAAAGTGAGCAGAGTATATTATAGTATATTACTGAACAGTCACAGAGCGGGGAAGTTGGGGAAAAAGCAGAACTTGTTAAGAATATCCCTTGGGTCTTGAAGTAGAAAGTACAAGAAGTAGCCTGCATCCTCTTTTCTGAGATGCTTACAGGGACTTGTGTCCCACCTCCATCTCTCCCTTCTCTGACACAGCTCAGGCTTCCTTTCAATTTTTCCTTTAAGTGGTTATCACTGTGCTGGCAAATCTTTTTAACTCAGGTCATTAAGGACTGTGGATATTGTTCCCTACTGCTGCTGGTCTTCAGTGTTTACTATCCCATTTGCTTCCTCTTTATTGGTCTCTTGAAGACTGTGTGTGTGTCCTTGTAAGTATTGCAAGGCATGACTGGGATCTGCCTTCATTTCAAAGATCAGCAGTCCTAAGTTTCTGTTAGGCCGAGAGGGGATGCTTGTGCCTCCACAAATGCCAGAATTCCCATCAGTTCTCAAACTTGTGTTATGTGTACACATACACGCATGCATACACGTACATACCCACACTTACTGTGTGTGTGGATATACATGATGTATATGTTGAGTACACATATATAAATGCATATGTACACATGCATATGTACACATGTACAATTTTATTGGTATATATGTAATAATTGTTTACATGTCTAGAACACGTTTACATGTCGAATGTGTTCTAGAGTAGGAACCATATTTTATTTATCTTTATATTCCTCTCAGAACCCGGCATGATGGCTTGTATATAGAGGAGGCTTTATAAATGTTTGAATTGAATTGGATGTCTGTAAAACTTGGACTTTCTCTGTAAGATTGCAGTGAGTTGTAAAAGGGTTTTAGTACTCACAGTGTTGTAGTCCGTCCACTTAGCAGCCACCCTTAGTGAGTACCACAGGACATCACTGAACACTAAACTTGGCCTCTGGTACGGAGAGGAAAAATAAGCCACTCTTTCCTCTCAGGCTTAGGGGGAAAAAGCAGGCAACTGCAATTAAAATTAAATACTATTGAAAGTGAAACTAAAGATTTTTCTAGGTCTGGCATTATAAGCTGCAAAATCTTTTAACATCCCTTGGGTCAGCTCACAGTGAATATTGCTGATGGCTGAATTGAATTTATAAAGAGCCAGAGGGAAGATGATAAAACAATCTTTAGATGGAATTTTGAACAGTAAGGTACAACAGTCATTGAATCCAGTTCAAAAGCTTTAAAAGATGCCACACTTGTTATTTCATTCTGTAAAACCAATCCTGATTTCTATAGTCTTGCTTCCAAAAATCAGATTTCAACAGACTTTGCATGCCCAGTTTGGAATTTCCCAATGTAAATGGATACTTGTTCATTTCTATCTCGTACATTCAGCTAAATAAATATGAGGTATTGTTCATGTAGCCGTAGTTAATGCATGCTCAGCAACTTGTGTCCCAGGAGAAATAGAGAGAGAGTGCTCTAAAATAATTCCAGGTTGTATTTTGCCTCTATTAAGAGTCTGATCCAAAGATGATGATAAATCACATTTATGTAATTCTTTGTTTAAAATCTTATAAGCACAAATATCATCCATGTGAAATTTTCCACTATTATTCATCTGAATCAATGGGGTTAAAATTATTTGGTCTCATTTACTTCCTTAACTAATGAATATCGGCCGTTGAATGACATCAGTATAGATTAAATTCTAGCTTGTTTATTAAGGAATCATATGATTTGGGAAGAATATTAGCAATTATATAGTCCTACCTCATCATCTTACAGACCAGGACTTAAGGATGTATAGATCATTAGGGGCAGATAATTGCACCTGAAGTTGAAATTTGGAGAAAGATTTGGGTTTTTCTCTTGTGACTCCCCCATCCATAAAACTTCCTTTGCTACATTTCTTTGTTCTTTTATAAAATGAGAACCACATAGTGGGACAAATGAGCTTCTGATTAATTAATGAGCTTTCTTGATCATGACCATAAGTATTTTGTTCTCAGCAGTGATTTTAATTGAGTAATTGATTATGAATTTAGTTCATATTAATGAATTTATTATTCATCAGTGCTGATCTAAGATGCCTATTTCTCCCTGGAATGTTGGCATTTTTACTGATAACTACTCCTCACTATTTAATATGTCAAAGAACTGAGTTCTCCATTCTATTAAGTAGTTGATTTGGAAGAAAGCCAGTTTTTTAATAATAATAGCTAATATTTTATAGCACTTTAAAGTTTGCACCATTTACAAATATTATCTTATTTTGTCCTCACTAACCATGGGTGGTAGGTGCTATTATTACTCCCATTTTTCAGATGAGGAAACTGAGACAGCTAGAGATAAGTAACTTACCCAGGATCACATAGCTAGTAAGTGTTACAAGATGCTTTGCCCTGTGCCCTGAAATCAATACATTTTTGTCTTGCCCAGATTAGGAAATAGAGTGGAGGTCTCTTCAGGAACACTCTATATATCTGTTCTCCAAAATTGAGACCTAGGTACCAGTGGTAAGAACACTACAGTTGATAGAGATTGTTGTTACAGTGAACAGTATAAAGAACTGAGCAGGTTTAGATACTGTGGACAATTTTAACCTTTCCACCATCTGATCAAAACCAATGAAAAGACATACCCTATGTCCTTTAAGGTCTTTTTGAAGCATGATTCTCTATGAAAAGATGAGATTTTAGTTGGGATTTCAAGGAAGCCAGAGCAGTCAGTAGGCAGGGTTGAGGAGGGAGAGTAGGTCCAGACCTAGGGAACAGCCAGAGAAAATGCCCGGGATTCTTCATCTCTATTGAGAGCAGAACAAATAGCATGTTAGTAAATGAATTATTTATGGAAACCTTTTGTTCATAAAGTTTTTTTTATTTTATTTTTCCTAATAGCTTATTATTATGGAAAGAGAAGGAAGATTGTCAAACCCCCAATTGGAGAAAACAATGCCGATATTGGTCCCCCTAAGCCAACGAGGCGGAGGAAACGACGGAAATCCATTTTCGTGCAGAAGAAAAGGCGAGCCTCCACAGTAGACTTTGCAGCAGGATCGGCAGAGGTGAGTGTCTCTCCAAAAAAAAAAATCTTATCAGCCCACATTAGATAAATGTGATTGAGAGGATTGTAGCTGCTGTGTACAAGCCTACACATTTATTAGGTATGATTGTTTTACTAAAGAAAGGATGTTTTCTGTTATGCACAGATACTCATGGCACGGGCCAGAAATCATGGAGGAGGCACAGGTCATTAGAATATTAGGGATCTTTGGTATTTCCAGGCCATGCAAGCTAGCAAAGTGCAACGTCCCTGTTGGAGAGAGGGTTACAAAACTTACAGCGCCTCTCTGAGAATGAGACGAGAGGCTGTAGTGAAAGCAGCGTTTCCTGCATTGTTATTCTTCTGTCCCACGTTAGCCACGAATTCTGTCTTTGTGGCAGGAAAGTGAAGAAGAGGATGCAGATGCCATGGAAGAGGACACGGGGAGTGAGGAAACCAGCTCAGAGCTTCGCGATGACCAGACCGACACTTCCTCCGCCGACGTCCCCTCTGCCCGTCCCCGGCGAGCCGTCACGTTACGGAGCAGCACAGAATCGGATCGACCCCCTCCCGTGGAAAGAGCCAGGAGAAGCCGTAAAGCACAGACGTTCTCCTGTGCCGAAGGAGATAAGTGCACCCAAGTCAAACAGGAGAGGACAGAGGTGAAGTAATAGCCCCCAACATAGGCGTAGAAATAAAAGAGTATTTGACGTTTGGCCTGGAGAAGGGGAGACTAAGGGAGGACAGGATAGCTGTCATCAAGTATTTGAAGGGCCAACACGGACAACGGAGCCCCATACGGCAAAATTAGAAGCAGGAGTTGGAAGGAGCAGAGAGGCGGGTTTCACTTCCATGCAAAGGAAAAAAATCAAAGCAGTTGGAGATGTCCAGAAGGAGACTGGGCTGCCTCAGAGGGAGTGGGTCCTTGAACGGATACTGCTTGTCAGGGATGTTAGAGAGACGATTCGTGTTCCAGTACGCGTTTGATTAGATGACCGCTGAAGTCCTTCCAAAGAGTGGGATTCTGGGGGCAGTTAGGTGGTGCAGTGGATAGAGCACCGGCCCTGAAGTCAGGAGGACCTGAGTTCAAATCCAGCCTCAGACCAAACACTTGACACTTACTAGCTGTGTGACCCTGGGCAAGTCACTTAACCGCAATTGCTTAAAAATTAAAGAGTAAGATTCTGTTGGGAGGTTTTGAACATCAGAACAAGTGACTGAAAAGAGTTACAGGACCTTCTTTTGAGGCTTTAAAAATGGAAGAGAACCCCGTCAGTCTGCAGTGGGTTACATGTCCCAAGCACCCTTTAAATCTGGGATTACAGAATTTTTTCTGGGTCCATCTCCATATAGTCATTCATAACCTCTGCATTTTGGGTTCTGTTTTTGCATGTATAGCCAAGTGGTAAATCTGCAAGTGGTAAGGGTACCACTTTTTGACGTATTTCAGGGAACTGGAATATCAGACTCCAGAACAAGCACTGAGTAGGCCGGGGTACACATCACTGTTTGTTGTTGTCCACAAAAATAAACACATGCTCCATGATTTCTTCTGCCATCAACTTTAGCAAATCGTCAGTCTTCTTTGTACCACAGTTTGCTTATTTATGTAGTAGGACTAAAACTTCCTGCCTTTTCATTAACCTATGCTACATTAAGTAGCCCATATGTACTGCCTTTTTTTTTTTCTTTTTTGCTCCTGTGTGTCAGGCTCTGAAGCCATATCAGCCCCTAAAGGCAAGACCTTGACCCTAGTTATTATGTATTTAGTAAATTGCTAAATTAAACTTTCTGGCTCAAGGGACTGGAGGGAGTTAATGTAGCTTCCAAAAGTATCTTACATACTACCAATGTCATATATTTGGGAGGGTTTGTTCAGTGGTTTTCAAAATTAATCAAGAGTATTGCTGTAATATTTATCATTTCTTTTTCCTCCCTTTCACATTTGGATTCCTGTAGGAAGTAAAACACGAAGAGGAGGAGAAACTTGTTCTGGAGAGTAACCCATTAGAATGGACGGTGACAGATGTTGTGAGGTTTATTAAACTGACAGATTGTGCTCCCTTGGCCAAAATATTTCAGGAACAGGTATGCTACATTTTTTTTTTTTTTTTTTTTTTGCTTCTTACTTGAACACAGGAGATGCTTAATAAACTTTTTAAAAATTTAATTTAATCTTATTTGACCATTTGTCAGGTATGTTGCAGTTGGAATTACTACGTAGGTGAGTTGGGCAAGGTGACTCCTGAGGCCTGTGTCCAACTCAGATTTATTTCATGAGTCTTTATTTCCTTCTCCTGCCAACATGGACTCTATGGTATTGCTGCAATTTTTAGTGGTTTATTATTTCATTACAGAAAGTTCGAGTATGGTATCTGTGAGGGCCTTGCCAAAAAGTTGTAATAACATCTTCTCTCTGTACAACCTGAAAATGGCATTTTCTCAGCATTTGAACAGAAGAATCATAGAAGTTTAGGGCTCGAAAGTATCCTGTCGTTTTATAGATGGAAAAACTGAGACCCACGTTTCTCTTAATTTGTTCCGTTTGTAACATTTTCTTTCTAGTCCCTTACACAAAGATGATAAAAGGTTTTGTTAGTTACCCCCCAGCAAGAAAATAAGCAGAATAAGGACATTTGCATTGGGCCTTGAAGGCACATTTTTTTGACTTGCTAGCCATATATAAAAGTTCAAATTTAAGCAAATGAGTGTTTCCTTTCACAATGCATGCTCAATATAGCAAATTATCTGCATTTTCACATTTTTTTATTAAAACATAATTTTCCCCAGTATAAAAAGTATTTTTTACTTGAACTTTCATTTTTTTAAAAAATACTTTGTGCTTTTATTCATTCTACACACACATACACATTTTCAATTGTCCTTATGGAAGTAAATCAGAAAAAAGCCATTATGTCTATAATTTGTCATTATGGACAGGAAAGGGGGGAAAAGCTATCTCTTCATAGAGATTTGTGAGTGCCTTCTTCTCAAAGGACACCATAAAATGGTAGTGGATCTTTCTATCTACTAGTGGGAAAAATTCCATGGTTTCATACAAATGCTTACCATTAGTCTAGGAAAATTAAGGAATGGAAGGGACATGAAATTTATTAACCTATTCTTTCTGGCCCAAAGTGGGGGCAGTGTTGTTATTATTGTTTTTGTTTGTTTTTAAAGGAGGAAAGAATGTTGTGTATTTTCTTGTGTCAATAACCTTTTGCCTTGGAGGGTCCAAACATCAGGGACTGTGTTCTAGGATAAGCAAAAGTGTTCATTCAGAACAATGATTCTTTACGTTTTTGTGTGTTTTGGATCCCTTTGGCAGTCTGGTGAATGAAGCCTGTGGACCCAATAATGTGTTTTTTTTAAAATTCATAATTGACAGAAATACTACATTTCAATTAGTGGTTAATGATTAGTGAAAATAAAAATGTAATTTTTTTTTCACCATCCGAGTTCATGGATCCCCTTGAAATGTAGCTATGAACACCAAATTAAGAACCCTTGATTTAGAAACTTGGGTTTCTTTAACAGACACCAAGCACTTCTGCCGGCATAGAATACTCCAGGCAGAACAAGTAAGAAAGCACAATCAACAAAAACCTGATGTCAAAGCCCATCTGATTTAGGGTTTGTTGGTATATAGACTCTTCTCCATTTTAATAGTAAACCAAGTATGGTGGGCTCAGTCTTGTTTAAAGCGTGCATCAGGGTTATCAGTATTGAATCAAGGGCTATCTATACTACTTTCCAGGACTTTACTTCCACCCTATCCCACTTAAAGAAGGAGAAACATTTACTCTTCAGGCAGAACCATTGATAAAACTGCAAACTGAATGATTACTTTCCAGATTAGATGAAGGGCTGGGAACTAATAACTCTGTACTGATTTACAACCTGTAGAAATCTGTGTGCAGTAGCTAAGACAAAAACAAGAAATGAATGCTTTACTATCCAGCTGCTAAATTAAATAGATTAAAATAACACTCATTTAGTTCAAAATGGAAAATTTGAAGGGGAGGGGAAGCCCCAAAATTACATACATACCTATATACTCTAAATATAGTCTACTTGGTGAAATTTGGGGCTTGAAAAGGGAATAGAAAGTTCACATAAAGTTAAGTTCATAGAATCCTGACTTAAGAGACCTTAGGGAACAGAAACCCCGTCATTTTATAAACCCAAACCTGGATCCTCTGACTCCAAATTCAGGGCTCTACTTTGCTACATTGTATTTATTCTTGTTCCAACTCTACTTTTAGGGCCATTACTCATTAGGTCTTATTTATTCCTGGTCATCCATGTGGCCCTTCCAGATTCAGTTAAAAAATTTGGGTCCAGTTACTGACAGTTGAGAAAATTAGGGATTTTTTCCCACTAAAAGGGAAGATAAAGTAGCTTCAGGGGATGGTATATTTATTCATATTTAGAATCAAATTTAATATTAAGCATTTGCTTATCATAGTAGAAAGCTGTTACCTACAGAGGTTTTAATGTAAATGGGCAATTTGACCCTTTTTTTGTTCACTTAGACCTTTAATTACCTTACTTAACTAATTAGTTAGCATTAAGGCAAAGACATTTATTGGGCAAACACTAAGACCCTGATTTCACTGAGACTTCCAGCTGGTAACCCTCACATATTTTAAATGAAACATGATATCTCCCTCGGTCTTATTCCCTGGTAGACATCACAGTTTTAAAAAGTAGAATAGTCATATACCTTTAATTAATGAATTGTTATAAGCAAAAAAGAAGCATTTGCAAGATTTACATATTTTCTTTTTAGTTCTGAAGTTTTATAGCAGCTGCCCTTCTGAAGTGGGCATGTGTTTCATTTCATATTCCAAACATGTATATTTATATACCTACCTTCAGAAAAGCTGAAATAGCTTTATCCTGGGAGGTCCATTTTCCAATATATTTTAATAGGAAAGATTTTTTGACAGGAAAGTTACCTGAATATCTGATATTTAAAAGGGGAGAGGGGAGCAATTTCTACACCCTTTACACAACTATGTACTAATAATTGATGTTCAGAGTCCTTGGCCTGAGCCCTTGCAAGGCACCGAATCATCTTCTGAATCCAAGATGACATTTCATTTAAGTCAAGCCACAAGCCATTTAGTAAGTGTGTGCACAGTGCATCAGGCGCTGTACTGATAACTGTTGGGAATACAGAGAGGTCCTTGTCCTCAAGGAGGTCACATTCCAATGATAAAAATAATTATGTACACATTAGATATATTCAGGTAGAAAAGGACCAGATTCAGCAATGGATTAGACGTGAGGGATGAATGAGAAGTGCAGAATTGAGGATAGCACCAAGATTACAAGCCTGGGTGATAGGGAAGATGGTGATGCCCTCTGACAGTAATAGAGGACTTTGGATGAGGGAAGTGTCTGATCATTTTTAAGTTTTCCATTTTCAGCATCTAAGGGTAGTAGGCAGAATGGACTCATAATAAACCAGTCAGGTGGCACAGCAGACAGAGTACTGGACCTGGCGCCTGGAAGACCTGAGTTCACATCCTGCCTCAGAGACTCGGTAAGGGTGTGACCCAGGACCAGTAGATGAACCTCTGCCTCAGTTTCCTTATTTGTCAAATGCAGATAATAATAGCATCTATTTCTAAGGGTCATTGTGAGGATGAAATGAGATTATATTTGCAAAGTGCTCTGCAAACTTTAAAGTGGTAAATAAATGCTAACATTAACACAAATGATAACAAAGTTTTCATCATACTTGCTTTGAGGGCTACTACTGGAGATGTTAGCCACCCCAGGCGTCGTATATTTGCATCTGAAGTCAGGCGACACAGGTTGATGCTGTGTCATTGAATTACTGTACAACAGGCTTGCACAACCTGAGGCCCACCAAAGGATTTTGGGCAACCTGTGAAAAATGCCCAGAATCCTTTGGCAGGCAGCAAGTTGTACAGGCCTGCTGTATAACCTTTCACACGTAACTTTACCTGTCTGCTAGGCACTAATAGGCATGTTCTGAAAACAAAATTGGGTACTACAAGTATAAATAAGTACTATAAGACACAATGTAAATAAGACATTGAAGTTTCCAGTAGTTTAAGCTTATGGTATTGGGTTTGGATTTGGGCTGGTATTTGTAATTTATAATCTCAAATGCAATCTTATTTGAATCTTAGAGATAACTAGATCAGACCCTTTATTTTACAGATGAACTGTAGCATAATAATTCCCTAAGGTCCTTTGCAGCTTGAACGGTCTTTGACAACTCAGCATCTTTAGCATTAGGATAGTGACTTCTTGATATATGTCATGGCTAGTGTTTGTCAGCAATCAAGAAAATTAATAGACAACACTGCTATTGACATATCTATACTCAGCCTTCTGGTTTGTTTGCAGATTTGGTTGTTTTCATTATTTTAGCACGTTAGCACATAAAGATGACAGTTGTGAGCTAGACCAAGTGAGAAATTAAATGATCCCTGTGCTTATGGAAGTTTGTTCCCAAGGTTGATAGACTTTTGTCTTAAACACCATCTTGTGCTGAGGATTCTGATCAGTCAGTTAAATTTGAGAACCATTACTTTGAAGACAGAAATCTTCACACAGGCAAAATAAACTAATAATTTGCTGTTTATTAGTGGACATTAGCCATGTCTTATATGTTAATTACACTTGCTTGATCTTAGCTTAGATCATGTCACCCCATGCCTGGGATAAGCTAGGAAATTTCAGAAGCTATGAAGATCTAATTACAGTTCAACCATCCGATTTCCATTTCCAGAGGAGCAACCTAAAATCTCTTTGAGACTTGGTTATGAAGAAACCATATTTAAAAGATTTTAGGGCCTCTGTCTATATTAAGTATTTAAGGGGAAAAAATCTGCATAGTCTTTTCCATTAATTGTAGCAGCTTCTTGGCTTGTCAGCTTCATAGTAGTTCTTGACTACAGTCACATCCATACCAGATAAGTGTAATGGGAAGGGAAACTGGTTAGCACTACTTAATCAAATCCACATTATGCTAGACTTTGGCATCTGTTCAAAATAGGGTCAGTGCTTATCCAGTCAGAGAGTTACCTTAAATGTTGAAGTTTACCTTTGAATTTTTCCACTCTACAGTTTTGTGTGTGTGTGTGTGTGTGTGTGTGATTGTATATGTACTTCAGACTGGTCCTCGCAGAAGTTGTGAATAGGTGAGATGTGTCTTTGGTATCTTCCTACCTTCCTTTGCAGCTCCCCCTTCCTCTCTGGCTTTGGAGCCTTCTTCCAAGGCCCCTCCTCCCACCTTTAATCTACCTTGCTTCTAGCTAGCTGTTAATTAATCCTACTTCATCAAATACTTATGAACATTCTCTGCCCTCCCCCCCCCCAATATTTTTTAAGTGAGGCAGTTGAGGTTAAGTGACTTGCCCATGGTCACACAGCTGATAAGTATTATGTGTCTGAGGCTGGATTTGAACTCAGGTCCTTCTGACTCCAGGGCCAGTGCTCTATCCACTGCACCACCTCGCTGCCTCCCCCCCAAATTCTTTTAAGACCCAAAGAAGTGACTTTCCATGGTGATAAATCAGGCCTTAGCAAGGCAGGGAATCCTTCTTCGGGGCATATCCAGCCATAGCAGCAACACCTCTTGTGTGTGTCAAGTGTACATGGCAGAAGCTGCATGGTATCTACAGGAGACAGAGATAGCTGAGTGTGGGAGATGTTAGATCTTCTATGACAGCTTCCCATGACAAAGCTTTTCCCCCTTACCTCATTGGTGGTGTTCTTTGTTTCAAGGTACACAAATGCTATGGAAATAAGAACTTCACAACTGATGAATAGGTTAAAATAAGACTCTTTTTAGGCCCTATCCCTTAAATAAAGGTGAGAAATTCAAGCCAAGTTCTCTTGTAATTCCCATGGGATTCAGAGTAACCCAGCCTTCTTTAGACATTCTCCAAAAAAGGAAACGTCCTAACCTGACCAGGGACCTAGCTTGGACAACACTGCTCCAGCCTTTCCCTAAACATTCCTCTCCCTAATCCAGGAACTTTTTTTTTTCTTTTGTAAAAACTGTTTCAATATAATTGGTTTCCTTTGCAAATAATTTTATTTTGTGCATTTAAAAACATTATCCTTAGAAAAGCATAGATTTTACCAGACTGCCAAAGGAGTCCATGATAGAAAAGAATTTAAGAACCCATATTCTAACCCATTTCTTTTTCCTTCTTCTTCTAGGATATTGATGGTCAAGCACTTCTACTATTGACACTTCCCACAGTGCAGGAGTGCATGGAGCTGAAACTGGGGCCTGCCATCAAGCTTTGCCATCAGATTGAAAGAGTTAAAGTTGCATTCTATGCACAATATGCCAATTAACTTCAGCCCTTCCCCATCATGGAGGATTCCTGCATGGGGGACGGGCCATTTGGGGACAAGTTTTCTTCCGCCTGCAGACATTTGAAATTGAAGCACTAAAAAATCTCAGTGTGAAAAAGACCCAAACTCCTCAACCAATCTCTGACCCCCTTCCCTGCATTTATTTAATATGTCTCTGTTTTTAAAGCACACTGAAATATCACAGCAACTGCTTTCTGAGAGCATAACTTGCTGTTTTCTATTGTGGCATCCATTGATATAGCAAAAGCTTAGGGAACCTTGCTCACCCTTTTCCCACTAAATCCACAGCACCTTCTGATTGACGTTTTCTACACCTTTCAAGAGAAAGGTTAGGAGTCAGTGGTGTGTTTTTCTGCAGTTATGTGGGATGCCTACCAGGCAATTAAAAAAAACTACAAATAAGCCTCAAGCAAATTTGTCCACACTTCTTTCATATTGAAATGTGTGTGATCACATTTTCAAGTGACTTTTACCATTGCAATTTGATCCTAGTGATCAACACATTTCTGTCACATTTATGACATGAGTGTTGATATATATTAAAACAGGATGTGATTATGAGAAAAACCAACTAATCCTCTAGTTTTGTCAGCACTCTTAGAAAAAGTGTGAGCACAGGAAAGGAGAGCAGAATCTAGAAAAAATCTGCAGAGACATATAGTGTCCACAACTCTTAATGAAACAAAGCTTTGTCCCTTTAATTTGTCTGTAACCAGATCAGGAAAGATCAGGAAGGGGGTTCTTATAATTTCTTTAAGAAGTTGAACTACAGGACAACATGTTGAAAGGAATTACTTAAGCATCCCAAAATAAGGAAATGGAACGTTTCAGATGAGGTGGTATTTGAGACTTCTACCACAAACAACCTGAAATTCATTGGGGTGGAGTTCCACAGTGTGTCACCTATCAGCTTGGCATGGCTTTGTTTTGGTTAAGTAGCCCAGATTTCACAGATCACTTCAACACAATGAGTGGGAGACGTAACAATGATTACTGTGAACTAAAAGCCCTCTGCTTTCTATTCACTTGCTCTCCATTCTCTTAATGGCATTATCTGGGTAGACAAAACTGGACCCGATAACCCATCACCCAGTAACACTGTAGCCACAGCTCCATCCAGATCCCCAACCTGACCAACTTGGAACATTTTGCAGATATATAGAATTAAAGAAGTAGACCACCTGTGTAGACCTCTGTGTGGCTCCAGGATAAGAGTGCTCTTGGACCAAAAGAATCATCCATGAGATCCAATCAATAACTCAAGCATTCATCAAGACATGGAAGTTTCTTAAAGAATTATGACCCATTGTGATTTTAATCCACTGATTTTTTAGAAAAATATTTGAAATTAGTGACAAGTCTTAAATTATTCAAAAACTGAGCTCCACAACAGTGGCTTCACATCTTCAGTAACTGCCTTAACTATTTTGATCTTTCCCCACCCAAAATTTGGTCTCGGAACTGGCAGTGTAGTGTATATAACTGTGATCTGGGCTCACTCCTGTAGCCGCCATGGGAATATTTCATTGGTTAAACTTTCTCTGGCAAGTCAGATTAGCAATGTTGGCCTTTGTTCAGCATTTTGGGACTGGCATAGACAAAAGTGAGAAGTTACATGTATATCTTCTGCTATTGAGATGTGTTTGTCTGAGCCTAAAGCTAGTGTTTACAGCCATGTTACAAATTTTCAATGAGTGAACTTTTGTGTAGAGAACCCTGGTGGAGCATCATTTAGAACAATGCTTGTTGACATCATAATGCTAGAAAAATGCCTTGTAATGCATCGTTGGTTTTGTAGTAGAGTTTTACTGAATTCTTCAAGTTAGTTTTGATCTCCCTTTGGGTCTCCTAGCCCTGTGTCCTCCGCTTCCTTGGCTCAAAATACTGTATCATGAAGTTAAACATTGCTGAGAGAGGTCAAAAATTCTGGCCTTTTCTCTGTGCAGATTTCTTTGTGATCTTTTCTCTGTGGCCTTTTCTAACCATGCCATTTTTGTTTCATTTAAACTGATATGATGGAATGAGCCAACTGCACTACAGCATTTTAGTATCAATATCAACTTCTCTTGCCCTTTCCAGGAAGTGGAAAGGGATTGGAGAGGGAAGGGCAAGACATCACCATGACCAATGGGTGTGTTAGTGAAGCCCATAAATCAAAGCTGGGATGGTCTCTAACTGGATGCTCAGCCTTGGCTTGGTTTCATGGAACTACATGCCAGGGATTTTCTTTATCCTTATGACTTACTTTCTCCCCGTATTCTCTTTATCAGACGACAAGAGAAGAATGGGGTGAACGTATTGTTGACTCAACCTTTGTATGCATATAGGAGGAGGAAGTGGACCCAATCTCAGAGTCAAGTCCATGATTGGTTTAATTAGAGTATCTTCCATTTTGACCATCCTCACAGCCTTTGGGAAAAGCAACTCATTTTAGAACCACAAGGTTCAAATCAAATAAGGAGGATTTTTGCAGGTTTCTTCCCTTTAGTTTGGGATACTACTGTATAACATTGTCCCCCTTCTCAATGAAGTTGCTAATATCTGCCAGAACTTTTGGTTCTTAAGTTTAATGTGTACACTCTAATTTCCCCAAATTATAACACAGCTACCATGACTCCACCCAAAAAAAAATCCTACACATACATCTTTAGATAAATGGTTTTTCCCCATTTCTATTAAATTGATAAAAGTTTCTGAAGACCAGTTAATTTTTTCCTCTCTACTAATGCTAATTAGAAGGACAGTGAAACTCTTGAGTCCACCATCATTACCATTCTGGCCCTTTCCCAAACTTCTAACTGCAGTCTCTTTTTGCCCCTCTCAAGCTAATAGGTATGATCTTATTTTATTCAACTACTCTCCAAAGAGTACTTTCTCTTAGTTCCTCCACACTATACTTTTGAGGCCAGATTCCCCCCAATACTTTGGTCCAATGTACATTACACAACTCGCTGCCCTTAAAACCTGACTTAATTTCCCTCCTGTTCCATACAGACACAGTTTGTGCAATTTGGCAAACCAAAAAAAAAAAAAAAAAGTCATCGATTGTTGCTATACCCTACCAGAAGGATTCAATTTCTCTTCCCTCCCTCTCCCCAATACATATGTACATATATAGAGAAAGAGAGAGAGTGTATAATATGTGTGTTTCCTTACTCCAGGTGTGGACTATAGCTGTACAAAGGAAAAATTAAGGGAAATGTAATTAAAAAAGATAAATAATAGGAATAATATTTTCATGATAAAAGATTCTGTATAAGAGAATTCACTAATGTTCTTTTACAGAATAAGCTCCCATAGCATATCTAAAACATGATGTGAGTTAGCAAAACTTAATATAGACATAAAGTTTAAAAATCCCTGCCTCTTTTTTAACACCACCCCTCCCCTGCCCCTGGACTACACTAGAAAACTTTTTATTCTCGGTTGCTACTCAGTAAGTTATCATGATCCAAGCCTGTGGTGCAGGCTAATACTTAGCTTTAGGAAATGAATCATTTTCTGCCCTTCAAAGATGGAGTAGAATTTCCTAATCTTTCTCTTAGAGCTGTGAGGGTTAAGTCAGGCAGAACACTGAGCCTTGCCTTCGTATCTTGTAGCAAACACCCCATTCTAAGATGTTCCTCCTGAAGCTGCCACATTTTGGAAGCCCTAGGGGCCTTCATACTTTTTTTAAAACATATATATATAAGAACAGTTTATATTTGCATCTATATAACTGAAAATGAAAAAAAAACTGTTAAAAACCACTTTGCTGTGATTTGGATCGTCAGAGTCACTTTTTGACAGAGATATCATGAGACTTGATTTTTTTCCATTTTTACAAAACTATTACAGACCGCAGATATTTGAAGGGACAAGATAAAGCAAGACGTCCATAGTTTCTAAAGAAGAAATCTTTGGAGAAACATAGATATTCTTATTTTCTCTTTGGTGCAATAATAATTCAGAAACAAATGAAAATTATAGAAAAGTGGCAACAATGATAATGTATGGTGTTCTCATGCTAGGAATGTGCAATTTTTCTTATAAGAAAACAAGCTCAAAATTAATCTGTCACCCTCTCTTTGAATTAAATAAATTTGCTGTGGTTGAATTCTGCAGACTTTGTATTTTCCCACTTTCAACCATTAGAGTCATAGTATGCTATGTGCCCACTAAATATTTTGGTTTGAATCCTAATTAGTCTGGTTTGAACCACTTGCTTTACCCAAACATCTTGCTAACACACTAAAAATGCCAACACATGATGCTGCTTTCAGTTCTGGCCAAGTTTTCTCACATTTGTTCCTTTATTTTAAATGCTACTTAGTATGATTTTCTAAGTTATCTCCATTTAATTTTTCTTAAACTATCAGTGAAAATGGTTAAGGTCATACAACCATGAAAATTGTAAACAGTGCCAAACCTTAACCAGGAATTACAAAGGTCCCATATGGATGGAAAAGATGTATTGAAGAAAAAATAAACTTGTAGGACGACAATCTTTTGCTAATAACAATAATAATAATAATTTGTATGCTGGGAAATTGAGAAATGAAAAATGACAGAAAAATTCTCTCATTTGTTGTCCAAAAATGGGAAATAGCATGATGTTTAGTAGCATAAACTCTTTCTAGTGGCGAATGTTGAAAGCCCTTTTGCTGTTTTGTATTCCAGTTTGAATAGTTTGTATTGAAATTTGATTCATATGTTGTGTACTTTTTGGTGTGTAAAAGAGAAAATTGATGGTGTTTTTACTTTTGAAATTTGCGGGACAAAGGGCATGTTGTTAGTCTGCTGTAAGATTGTATTCTGTATATATGTTTTCATGTAAATAAATGAAAATCTATATTCAGAGTTATATTTTAATTTTTATTCTAAATGAAAAAAATCCCCTTTTTACTTGAAAAATTGTAAGCCACATTGTTAATAAAGTAATAATGAATACTACATTCACTGCTTGTGTCTGACCTATGTCTGGAAGATGAGTAATGACTGTACTTCTTTCCTTCAAATTACTCATCTTTTCATGATAGTTTTTGTTTTAATACAAAGTACTCTGTAGAAGTTGAAATATATATCTGAGAGCCAGAATTCAAGGATGTTAATATCTTCTGCCAGAGCAAAGTATATGGCCTTTTATGATTACATGTCAATTCTGGTCCTGATTTGCCAGCAACATAATATCTGAAGAAGCTGATGTACACAGCTCTTTTTGGTGTTGGGAACATCAATGTGTATAATCAGGTGATTCTACTGCCGCCTATTAAGATGGGAGCTGGAACAAAGGTGAGTCAAGTAAGCATCTGGGTCTGGGTCTGCTGCCACCATCATTGGCTGTCATCAGATTTGGCGTTTCACTACTATTGATTAAAGAATTTTTATTGGCTTCTGAATTATTTTACCAAAGAGAAAATGCATGTATGTTTCCAAAGATTTCTTCAGAAACTACAGATATCTTACCAAAGAATGGCAGCCCATTTGGAAATATATAGGTTTCTAGTAGATAGCAAACTAAGATAAGCCAAAACCGAAAATCCACCCAGCTGCTCTGAAGTCAGAGCCAATAATCCTAACGATTTTGAGTGGTTTTAATTGTTTCAATTAGTGCAGGATTTATTGGCCACTTTACATACAGATATACACATACTCTGTGTGTCTGTGTGTATATTCCAGTGGAAATCATAGGCTGGGAGTCAGGAGGCCTGGTTCAAAGCCTGTCTGTACATCTAGCTTATTTCTTGGGCAAATCACTGACCCTCTTTGTATGATGGAGACAACAAGAAGTAGCCTGCTCTACTTCATCTTGGTTAAGATTCCGCTTGATTTTTCTTCCAGCAAATGGGGATAGCTTTTTTAATTTATGTGCTACTACTTTTCATGATTCTATGCAACATTTGTCATTAATAGAGTATTCAAAATTAGACACTGCTTTGTTCACATCACTTCATTATGGTTAGGATTAGATAAGGTAACATAACAGATAGTTAACGTGATGTGATTAGGGGCAGGCATTAGAGTCAAGAAGTTCTAATATGACTCCTAAATCATATTGATTGTATGATTAAGGGGAAGTCAGTTTTTCAGGGGTACCAAGAAACTCAAGTCGGTTACAGATAAGTTGCTGATCTTTATGAATGAAGGGAATTTCCACACAGGGAAATGAAATCTCAGGTTCTGATTATTTTCAAAGGAAAACACTTCTAAAAAATTAAAGCAACTATTTAAATGTGAGGCATTCTTCCCCACCCCTCTTTGGTCCCAAAGGTCTCTTTCCACTTTGATCAGTTATTTAGGTTATCTGCCCTATCCACATTCATCAGATCCTCGCCTCTTTTTGGGTTGTGTAATTTAACAGTGGACAATAAAAAAAAAAATCCTTATTGCTATTATTGTTATTTCACCTGAGTTTTGGCTGAGAACATAATCAATGTTTATTAAATGGTTCAAAGACCACCTAGAATATATACTTATAAGAACACAGCTTTCGCCAAGTATGATGCAAGGATTAGACATTTTGTCAGTAAAGAGAAAATATAACTGCAACATAATAGATGGGTTGCAATGATTTATAAGGAAATAATTCCATCAAGGGTTGTTGTTTTTAATGTCAACCAAAGCCAGAGTTAGAACTCGTACAAATCATTTTGGCTTTGGTTTGAAGTATGGGGCTCAGCATACTTCTGTGAGAAATGTGTGTAAATGATGCTTTTAAGAAAAAAAGCCAAAAACCTCAAGTTGCACACACCAATCTACCCTTCAGATTAATCTGATGGTGTCATTTTCATATTTTCTGTGTTAGGGTTCATTACTGCTATAATCTTTGTGATCTGTTAAATGACATATGTGCAACTGTATGTCCTAGTTTTCAACATTCACTTCCATGAGCTTTTGAGTTCTAAATTTTCTCCCCCTCCCTTCCCTTCGGCCACCCCAGGATGCCATGCAATCTGTTATAGGTTCTACATATACATTCATATTGAACATACTTTCACATTAGTCATATTGTAAAGAAGTATTAGAACCAATGGGAGGAACCATGAGAAAGAAGAAACAAACAGAAAAAAAGAGACCAAACAGTATTCTTCGATCTGCCTTCTGACCCCATAGTTCTTTTTCTGGAGCAACTGTATGTCTCTATGTATATAAAAAGGGCTCTGATGGTATAAAAAAAAATCACCAACATTTTGGATATACAAAAGCTTAAGTGAATGGTAATGTTCTAATGGAAAATTAATTCTCCATATAGCCTTTTTTGGGTGATTTTATTGTTAGTTACTCCTTATTTTATGTTGGTTTTTCCACCAGCAAACAGGAATAGTTTTTTGTTTATGTGCTTCTGCTTTTCATGATTCTATTCAACATTTGTCATTAATAGAGTATTCAAAATTAGACATTGCATTATTCACATCACTTCAATATGGGAATTTAAGTCTTAGGAAAATTGAGATTCAAATCAGTTGGTAGTCCCACAGATATTCAGATAATTGGCATTTCTACCTATCCCTGGTATTATATATGGATTTGATTCAGTCATTTCTTTATTATTTTAAAATGTATTAACTGCTTTATTCACTGATAACTTGTTGCTTCCTTCCACCTCCACTTGAATTTTGGGTCACTGATGTCTCACTAAGGACCTATGAATGGAATATAGCCTTAGAAGAGTGTACCTTATTCAATAGGAGCAGAGGAGACCCAATGGGGTGTGATATTACTAGTATTATATGTATATGCATATGAATGTATATATTTATAGATGTGGATCTCTATATAGATAGATATATATAAGAAAAATCCACAAACCACAGGGTATGTATGATGGAAAAATATTTGAAAAGTACTAAATGTAGGCAGGAATAAAACCTATTTCTGGCACAGAGATGAGACATTAAAATAGTAATGATGGGAATGGGGAAGGGATAGGGTGAGAGGGGGCTTCAATTATCCAGACATCTGCTATAGTTCCCAAAGTTCTGCCAAAAGCAGAGCAATTAATAATTTTTTGACTTGCCTCAGTGATAAGTTAATTCTTCAAAAATGGGAGAGACCATTAAGGAAAACTTGA